CTAAGGGCTGCCACATGTCGGCTACTCGTTGTTGCAAAACAGCGCCGACTGACACGTCCGAGGCGCCAGTACTGAGGGACAGTGGGGCGGCCGGATCGTGATGCGCTATAGAAGCTATGTTGGCGATAGCCTCTTTCAGTGACTTAAAAGCAGAACGTGCCGCGGCAGTAAATCCGAATTTCTTGAGTTTCCCCCGGAGAAGGTCCGTGAGGGGTTGCATCAGAGAGGCGCAGTTGGGTATAAATCGTCGGTAAAAGTTGACAAGCCCATCAAAACGCCTGAGCTGTTTGAAAGAATGAGGCTCGGGGTAGTCGATGATGGCTTGAATTTTATCATGCAGTGGCACGACGCCTGCAGAGGAGATACGATGGCCGAGGAAGTTTACTGAATCGACACTAAACGAACACGTTTCTGCGCTGACCGTCACCCCGTGTTGAGATAAACGATCAAAAAGTGTTCGTAAGTGGCGTATGCACTCTTCTCGTGAAGAGCTTGCGATTAAAATGTCATCGAGATACGCGTAAGCGAAGTCTAGACCGCGACAAACTTGGTCGATGAAGCGCTGCAAAGCTTGCGCGGCGTTCTTTAGGCCAAATGGCATGCGCAGAAGCTCGAACAAACCAAATGGAGTCGTCACAGCAGTTTTAGCGATGTCCGCTTCGGCTACCGGAATTTGGTTGCATGCGCGTACCAAGTCGATTTTGCTGAAGATATTTTTACCTGTCAGACTGGCGGTGAGATCCACTATGTGTGGGATCGGATAGCGATCGGGCGTGGTAACCGTATTCAAGGATCGATAGTCGCCGCAAGGACGCCAGTCCCCCATGACCTTCTTCGGGACCACGTGCAGAGGCGACGCCCATGGGCTGTTGGACGGTCTGACGATACCGAGTTGAAGCATGTGGTCAAATTCGGCTCATGCTGCCCGTAGTTTGTCTGGAGCAAGCCGTCTTGGTCGTGCGCTAACACGTTGACCGCGCGTAACTATGTGGTGAGCGACCTCTGTCCTGACTGGTGGAAGCTCTGCAGCCGGTCGAACCAGTCGCGGGTGTTCGGAGAGGAGGCACAAGTAGTCGGATGGTGCGGCTGCGATCCGAAATACAGGGCTGATTATCGGGGCATCTGAAAGGACGCCATCAACACCTAGTTTCGTATGATCATCTAAAATTCTGGGGCGACCCGCGTGGACAAGCAATCCGAAATTGCGAAGAAAATCGATGCCGATAATTGCGAAAGGCACTGACGTAACCGTGAAAACCCATTGAAAGTCTCTGCGGAGATTTAAATCGAGGTTCATCATGCGTTGATCGTATGAAGCTATCGGTGAGCCGTTGGCTGCCCGTAGATTGTACGTGGGTTTCGAATGCTTGTCTTGCGCGCTGGCAGGGATAACGCTCACTTCGGCTCCTGTGTCGATAAGGAAAGTGAGGCGGGAGCGCCTATCCTTGGCGTAAAACAGACGGCCTGTTTTGTCGCTGCCGGACGCGTGCCGGCGAACTGAGACTGTATTTAAGAGCAAGTAGAAAGGTTTCTGTACAACTCTATCGAATTACGAAAAATCAAAATTTACTTGTGAATTATCAGCAGTTGTGTCTGGTCCGTTAATCGTTTATCCGTGTTCGGTTAGAAATTTGTACTAGCGTCATTATTTCCGGACATACAATGTCTTCTTTTGGCACTGTATGTGCATCGTTTCACAAAAGCACAAGTTTCCAAAATAATCGTCGATACGGGTTTTAAAACACTTCACAGAATCGGCCTCTATTAATCCTTCTGGTAGTGTATTCCACAAGTTTACGATTCTTCGTTCGATACAAAGCTGATGTGATACTTTGTTCATACTGGGGACCCTGAGTTTGTAACGATGTCCTCGGGTGTTACAGGGTTCTCGCAGGTGAAATATTGGCCGTAGTATGGGGAAGTGATTCAAGTGTAGTACTCGATGGGTCATAATAAGATCAATTCTTACTCGGCGATAGGATAGTGTGTAGAGTCCGAGCTTTTCACAACGTTTTTCATATGGAAGCTTTCGTAGACTTGGTATCATTCTAGTTGCGATATGCTGTATTTTCTCCAGTTTTTCAGTTTCCCATTGGGTTATCGGATGGTAAGCTGGGGCACCGTATTCAAGGATTGGTCTAATGAGCGAGGTGAATAGACGAGGGACGGTTTCTTCTGACCATGTGGAGAAACTGCGTCGTAATGCCCAGAGCATACGAAGTCCCGCACGGTACAATTTCTCTGTATTTTCTAGTGATCTTAAATCATGTCGTGAGAGAACTCCTAAGTCTCTGACAGATGTGTTGGGATGGAGCAACTGGCCGTCCAAGGTGTATGATCGAGTGGCTGGACGTCTGGTGATACTGATGAACTCCGACTTGCTTGCGTTAAGAGGCAGTTGCATTTCAGTGGACCACGTTGACAGTGGCTCTAAGTCATGCTGGAGGCGAGCGCCGTTGTCCTGATTCTCAATTATCCTCAAGATTATCAAATCATCTGCAAACAGGGCACATGGTGACTGGAGCTGCTGCGAAAGATCGTTGATATGAATAAGAAATAATACTGGCCCAAGTACAGTTCCTTGAGGCACGCCACTGGTCGATGGGAACCATTCTGTCAGATAGTCATTGACCTGTACTCTAAACCTTCGTCCCACAATAAACTCTTGTATCCACTGAAGTAACGTGCCACCGATTCCGTATGTCCTCAGTTTACGAAGGAGTACCTCGTGGTTCACTCTGTCAAACGCCTTACTAAAGTCGATGTACACCACGTCAACATCCTTCTGTTCATTGAGAGCTCGAACCCACTGGTGGTTTGCGTACATCAAGTTGGTGATGCAGGATCGCCCTTTCGTAAAGCCGTGTTGCGCTGGCGTCAATACGTCCATCGATTCGAAGAACGATAGCAGACACTTTTTCACAACCTTCTCGAGAACTTTGGATAATACCGAAGTCAAACAGATCGGTCTATAGTTCTCTATTTTACTCGGATCACCACCCTTGGGAAGCGGTTTAACTATCGAGCATTTCCAGTCGTTCGGGACGGATCCTTCAGAGAGCGATCTATTGAAAAGGTTTGTCACATCTGGTGAGATGATAATCGATAGGGACTTGAGTATTAGTGGGTGAAGTCCGTCTGGTCCGGGGGGCTTTGCACCATTGAGGTTGACGAGTAGCTGATGTACTTCGACTGCATCACATTGTAGGCTGTCGAGCAAGACTTGCGCAACCTGTGCCGGTACTGGAACAGCCGCCGGTTTACTGGAAAATACAGTGAGGAAGTGTGTAGCCAGGGAGTCCGCGCGCTCCGCGCTTGAAATGAGTGTCTTCCCGTCTAAGCTCTCTAAGACCGGTAGGTCGTCTCCAGGTTTCAGTTGACGTTGCAAGTAGGCAAATATTCGCTTGGGTGCAGTTGCGGCCGAGGATGCTAGCTCCTCTTCGAACTGCCGGCGTTTCTTGATCTTTGCGGCGTTACATAAGTTACGCTGTTTCTTGTACACCGCGTAATCTTCATCACAACCCGAGCTGATGTATCTCTCCCAAAGTTGACGACGTCGTCGCGCTAACTGTCTGTATTCCCTATCAAACCAATGCGGTTTGACAGGTCCGATTTTTGGATACTTAAGGGGAACGAACCGAGTACAGAGCGAGTTAAGCTTCCCCTTTATTAATGACCACCACGCCTCAAGTGACGCATCATGTGGTAGTGTCCAATCAGTCTGACTTGCGGCTTGGACGAGTCCGTTGAAGTCCGTCTTCCAATAGTTGAATGTCGGCTTCTGTTGATTGTAATATGGTAATGACAGTTCTAAGCTTGCTACAATAGAGCAGTGGTCACTGTTCGCCAGAGGTTCGATGACTCTGATCTCTTTTAGCTTCTGCTCGCAGCTCGTAAACATTAGGTCCAGACAAGATGCCGAGTATGGAGTTACGCGCGTCGGTTGGATGACATGTTGCGTTGCCCCAATTTCAATAGTCATTTTAGCGAATTGAACCTCAACGTTGCCATGACCGGGAAGAAGTCGAACATCTGGCCAAATTATCTTAGGTAAATTTAGATCTCCCATCAGTAAGAACTGAGGGCGGCTCATGTGCTTCTGTACATGTGGTATCCAATCGCAGCAACGGTTTAATGGGCTCCGGTAGATAACACCCACTATTAGTTCTGCGCGCCTGAGACGGATTGTGCACCACAATTGCTCGCATAAATCTCCTCGCTGCGATAGGTACTGATAAGTTTGCCAGATAGTGACGATTTTATGTACAACAGAACACCACCGTGAGCCTTTGATTTTCGGTCACATCGGAAACAAGAGTATCCTGACAACACGACTTCTTGGAGTATGATGTCGGAGTTCAACCATGTCTCTGCAAGTCCTAAAATGTCCGGCCGCTCCGAGACAGCGAAGCGGCACAGTTCGTCACGTTTGTTCATTAGGCTGCACACGTTGGCGAATGCGGCACGTAGGTCCTGGGAGGTACTGCGGGACGTGCATGGAGGTTGAGCAACCGATTGAACTAGTTTCCCTGTGCCACTACACCACGCTTGGCGCAAGGTGAACGGCAACGTCGAGCATTATCACCATACTGGCGATGATACCAACACAAATCATCCATTAAGTTGGCACTTCGGGCTCGGCTGCGAGGGGGTGATGGACTGCGTCTGCGCGGTGACCTGGATCTGTACGGTGGGGGTCGGGACTGATAGGCACCGTGACGAACGGCGGCTATTTCGTGGTCGGCGTGCGGTCTTAGTAAGCCTTGTCTTTCTAACTGCATCGTTGCTAATTCATGGCGAAGCGCGGCTATCTCTTCGTCTCTGGGGTCTGCTTGCGCGGACGCTTTCGTATTATCAGCTAATGTGGCGAAAATGTTACTGGATGCCTTCATGTGTTGAGGGATTCTCTCAAAGGCTGCGTCCGCGGTTATTGCCAACTCTTTGAGTGATCTATCTGGATAAGCTACGAGCATTAAAGGAAGAGAATCAGGCAGGCGTGAGCCACAGTTCTTTTAATGCTTCTTCACTCATGTACGACGGGCCAGCTATCTGCTGAATATCGCGGAGCAAAACTGAAGGCTTGCGATCGCCTAGCTTAGTGCTATGAATGAGTTGCTCCAATCGAGCACGAGCGCTGGGTTGCGACTCCTTTAGGATCAACTGCTTCATTGCTTCGTATTTACCGTCTTTCGGTGGATGAAGCAGTACGTCTTCAACCAGTGTCACCACCTGTTGCGGAAGGCGTGGGACGAGTTGGTTGTATTTAGCTTGGTCGGCAGAGATCCCTCTGTTCTCTAACTCTATCTCAAAAATGGCAAACCAGACGCTGGGCTTGTGTGCCATAAAATCCGGAATAGCCAAGGTGAGCAAATTCATGCTGCCGCCCGATCCGGTTTTTACATCGGCATCAGACATAGTATATGAATAATACGAATGGTTTTAAAAACAAAATGGACGGAAAATAATCCACCAGGGATTAGGGAAAACGACTCGGAACGAACTCACCGAAAACGAAACGATCAAAAAATTTGAAAATTCGCGCGTGCGAATCGGGGTCACCAAATTGTAGGACTAGTCTATACTAGTCCGAGAGTGTTCTCGCTCTGGTAGGGATGCCAAACCAGAAGGACGGACACAACGGATTGTATTCGCGGAAGGCTACAATCGAACGAAAAACGAATGAAGCGACGAGAGCGTACGTCAGTGCCGGAACTCACCGTGGAGACAAGTGGTGAGCCGGATGTAGTTCAGAATGGCCGTAGAGTCGGCATTAAAACAAAAACCAATATTGTATGACTGAGTAATAAAAGTGTACATAGGATAAGAAATATCTTTTGGGTTGCTACACCCTTATGTTCCCGTTAACTTTTGGTCCCCAGTAGGGGGAAAGGGTGTTAGAAGCACCCCCTTAAGAGTTTACGCAAATAATTTTGGCTTATGTGCAAGATTTGTAAAATTCCTACCTTGCTCTCTCTGGCGCGCCGTTAGCTTATCATACTTTTTCACTGTGAGAAATATTTGTAGCGGTTGCAACGATTTATATGAAAATAGTATTTCTTCGGGGGTTGCATCTTACCCTCCTACACTTTGGATAAAACGCCCACCCCGTCCCTAACTACTTAAGAATGTACACACAGATATGCAGCAAACTATTGGAGCTAGGGATATAACCGTATTGTAGTACTGTCCTGGCATACACACAAGGGGCTGGCCAGATCGTCACTTAACACTGCAGTGTAGAGAGACAATAAATTTGAAAAGCACAAAACTTTTAGTTCGGGAATACTCAGATGCGTTAAATGAAACCAAAGATTTAAATAAGCATCATCTGATTCACAAGTTTGGCACACAGACTTGAGAAATTCCTGGAGTGCAATCCTTGTGGGCCTACATTTAACACAACGCAGGCGACGCCCTTTTCATCAGGTCGACTTCGAACAAATTCTTCCCCACAAATCAAGCAGGGCCGTTCATCGTACTCGTGCGATGAAGAGGACGGTTTTGATTTCTTCACTTTACTGGCCTTGCTGCTGCTGCTTTGCTTTTTGTTGTAGTGAACTTATAAATGGCGACGCTGTTATTACTTCGGCATCGTCACCTTTGTGGCATCCTTTCTGCTTGCTTGGGATGACTGCTTTCAGAGTGGCACACAAATCTTCAATGACCTGAATTTCAGCCAACACTGCTCGATTACCAGAAGACTAGAGGCTTTGAACGTCAAATGACGTTGAACGAGCAGACCTATCGTAAGCAGATGAGATCATGACTGAAGGTTAAGGCATGTGGTCATGATCTATAGATACTTGAGTTGGAATGATAACATTACATTCGGCAGAATCATCTGCTGATGAGGAGTTCGCTTAGGGTGTCGTTGAAGGCAAGCGGACAAGGATAACTTGATCGGCACAAATATCCTGTGGCTCATTAAACTGGGCAGCAACAAAATCATTCTCGTTAAAAACAAAGGGATTAAATGGCTAAATCCCGCAGGACTCAAAGCCCTTTGTAGCAGCAGCAACGGTTGCTAATTTGTTGAAAGTTTGTTCAACTAATGAGGCTAGAACAAAAAACGAAATTCGTTGACGAGGATGATTTAGCATTCGTTGATCAGAAATGGTATTGAATGCCAACTTCATAGGCTTGAAAAACGTGCGATCGCAAGGCTTGAAGCGATGGGTACAGTATGGTGACAATGTCAGCATGACTAACAGACACTAATTCTACAGCAGTAAGAGTCTTATGGCTTTGGTGCCCATCAAGTATTTACAATGCCTGTTCTGTTATCGAAGGCTTGACGTTAACAATGAAATGTTTGAGCTATTTTATGGATTGTTCATCATCGGACCATCCATTACCCGAGCAAAAACCAACTGGTTCGGCAGGTGCTCCCTTCAACAGATTGGGCTCCCATCTTCTCTGGAACAATGGATTTATGCGGGTATAAAAGCTAAAGCTTGACAAATCCCGTAGGGTGATCAGTGCGAAAATCATAGAAGTGTGAAAAATTCAATGGAAACCAATTAAGTAAAATCGTTTAACAACGAGTCACTACAAGCTTGTGGACTCACCGAGTTTGAAGTGTCAAAATAATAATCCACTATAACTCCGGAGGGGATCATGAGGTATGGAGTATTTGGTTAAAAGAGCCACCGCCCCTTGAAATTCGCATGGGGCAAAGTGTTTGAGTTTAAAGCGTCCAAATAAAATATAAATCCACAGTTGAAATTTGCGTGGGGGAAAATTATTTTTAAAGTATGGATTTTGGAATATGAACATCGCCGGGATATGTGTCCCCATCGTATTAAAAACAAAAATGACTGTCACATTTTCCCCTTTCAGAACTTGTCGTTTTTCTTTTGGTGCGTTTTCCTTTCTGAGCCAAGATTTTTCTTGGCATTTAAACACACGAAAATCCAGTCTCATCCATAGTCCATATCTTGCTTTCTGTAAATGAGTGAGATATCAACACAGAAGACAAACAATAGTAAAATATGCCTACTTTTGCCTTGTTGAATCCGTTTGCACGAGAAATATTAACTGCTTCAAGACTTCTAAGTCAAATAGAAAGATTTCGTATTAGAAATCCCTCTAGCCAACGTTGGCCTGCAGATTTGCTCTCATTGTTGAGTCAAGAAGTATGTTCATCTTTTCTGCTAGATCATATGCCAAAGGTCGAGGGACTATGGTCGTCAAATCAAACAGCAGTGCTTCCATAACCTTTCTCTTGTGACTAAGTGCTGTAGTTCTGTTCTGAAGTGAATCAAAAATACATACCCAGGTGCAATGACCTGAAAATATGCAATTATTTCATTGTCTCTGTGTCGCCTTATAGTTCGTCAGTCAATCTCGAACTTCTTAGCAGTCTTTATCAAGGAAATATCATTTTTCAAATCTCCCAGTGCTAACTGCAGGTTTTGTGCCCCATATTCTCCTCTCTTTCGCACATACACTCGAGTCATTTTGAGATGGCTGTAATCAAAAAAATTACTATAAAGTAGAAGCATAAAAAATATATATAACAATAGCGGGTAATACGCCCATGGGTGCAACTCAGATTAATTACTTTTATTGCCTGTTATGTGCTAGTAGAATATGACGCATTAGCTCCTTCTGTCTATAATTGAGTGCAAATTTGTAAAATATAATAACAAAGTACTTGTTATACCCCTTAAGATTCATATGCGCCTAAATGACATGCCAAAAATCTGGTGAAAACAAACATAAAATATCTCATTAAGTCAATTTGCTGATAAGAAGGAAATTTGGTAGCGGATTTTTATGTAAGTAGCAATGGAAGCCAATATGAAACTGTCGGGGCTACGATCTTGAGTGGAATATGGATTGCAATGGAAGAATATATGGGTAAACTTCTTACCCGCATTGGGCGTCTTACCTACTCTTTATCACGCTACGAACTTACTCGATTTTCTCGCAGTCTGCTCTCACTGTATCATCTACTTGCCGTCTCTTTTATGTAGGCATTAGTAACTTTGCTTGACTACAGATGGAAAAGTTCTATCTGATGCTCCCGTTGATGACTGTACAGCCGCCGTCTTGGGTCACAAAGCTATCTAGACCATTTTCACTTACTCCTACAAAGTTCACGATGAATGTTCTTTCTATAAATCTCCTCAGGCGTTTGCAATTAGAGGGCAGAGTTTATAGGACTAGT